TATGTGAGGAATATGGAGAAGGCTGGGTGACGTCTGTTGGAAAAAAAAATACAAGTCTCAGCTTCCAAATCAGTCGTGTTGGATGTTTTTTATCTTTTTAAATTCCTGAAAGAAGATTACGGAGGGGAGAGTAGAACTTAGCACTTACCGTTCGTAAGACCCTGTTTTCTACATGTTTTCTCTCAAGCAGGCCGGGTGTTTCCTCTGAGCTGACCTCTGTTACCTTTTCATGTAGAAAATTTCAGCCAGAACAGTTTGGCTGCTTCCAAAAGATGAAGAGAGAGGAAAACGTGTGGGTGGTTTGCCCTTGGTAGAACCTTCTTGGCACCTTTTCTCTGAGGAGCTGTAGCACTTCTGTTTTTAGTGACTCGGAGACTGGCAGGGTTTCCTTCTGGCAGGGATGTGCTTTTTGCCGTCCTCTTGGCAATCCACCCACATTGGCCAAGCTCTGCACCTTGCAGACAAGAACATAGCGATTGAGACCCAGCGTGGCAGAGTTGCCTTGGATTTCTCACATACTGCTGATGCTTCATCCCGGGGCTGGAAAGGACTTTTCCGTCATCACAGAAATGTTGAAACTGAAACTTTTGCAGCCTTCTAAGTTCAGAATCCTAGGAGAAGATAGTACCTTACAAATCTAATCTTGATTAATCTTAATAATTAATATTAATATCACCCCTGGACAATGACTGTGTTTGAGCCTGCAGTTGTTGCTTCTGGTATTTTGCATTGTGGCAGCATGGGATCCAGATTCAAGCTGAGATTGCAGAAGTCCCAAAATTTGCCTTTGGGTTTTTTTGGGATTGGTTTTCTTTTTTCAGGTGGGAACAAAGTACTGCTGTTCCTTTTCATTAGTTTGCTACCTTCAGTATGAAGTAGGGCTTCATAGATTTACGTGCCAGTCCCTGTTGCAAAACGTTACTTCAGTGGCCATTTCCAAGTTCTTCATTGGCCACAAATTTCCATAACCTCTTCTTATTATTTATTGGCGTTGTTAATGTAATCTTAGCCCTGGCTAATTCTCAGCATTGGGCTTTTATAGTATATCTCTTTATGGTGAAGTTAACCAGGCTTATCCAGCTTACTATGCCTCTGTTGGATGCGCACTAGCAACTGTAGAAAGCTCTTGGAGGATTTATGGCACTATGGTCAAGCAAGCTTGTATTTGTCATTTTGAGCATTTGTGTTACCAGCTAATGTGCTGCAGTGGTCTTGACCGGTAACCAGTGTTAATCCGTTGGCAAGGCAGCCAACCTAAGGGAAAAGCACCATCTCACGCTTGAGTGTGTCGTGGTGTTTGAGGCAGGGGGGATGCTTCAGTCATATTTCAACTTTAACTGAATCAAGGTGAACCTTTCAATTTGCCAGAATAGAGTATTTTGGTGATATGACCCAAGACCTTGTATGCGATCCAATGTTCTCTGAAAACAGTATGAAGTGTGAGGACAGTGTGGCGGCTCAGAAGATATTTGCAATATTGAGTGCAAATTGGTATGTACCTACATATATCGCCTGTCAGTAATACAGATAACAACCAAAGCCACATCATCATGTGGATGAAACATCATCATGTGGATGATGTGGTTACCTGCTGGAATCACCAGCAGCAGGAGATACTGTTGCTCCAGGTTGCCATTTTGAGAGACCTTGCTGTGAATTTTTCAGAGTTGACTGAAATTCTGTGCCATCAGCCACAGGATGCTGTCAAGAGACCTCACATTCTTCAAAGCAGTTTTGTCTGTCCATCAGCATCTCAGTTCTGCTCTGCTCTGAGTCAGCTTCAATCAGCTGTTCTTCATCTCCACCTGGTATCATTCAGTCATACTGCTGCCTCTCTAGTAGTGGTATGATCACATATAATAATAATGGGTAAGAATAAAGCTATCGAGCCACTTTCTGAAAGAAAATTAGACATTTCTGAAGGTGGTACATGCCTGCTCCATCTTTCAGCTCTGCTCAGTCCATTGGAAAAATAAACCTTGTGAATCTTGTAATTCTTTCAAAAGAGCTGCAAAAGGAGCAGAACTATTTCAGTTGCAAAGTCGCTAACATTTGCAAATAAGCCTGAAAACAAAATAATCTACTAAGAAACGCAGGCCATCTGAACAACCTAGGAAAGGCTTCCTTTGCATTTTCTTGAAAGCAGCAAGTGATACAACTAGAACACTTGAAGAAACACTGTATGGTTCTTCACAAGATCTAGAATTACTAAAGGAAAATTAATCATTTTCAGTGGTTCCTTGAGAGAGATGCTACTAGCAATGCCTCTAGATATCTTTCCTATCTGAGAGGAGAATGTTACATGCCTAGGGAGAAGGTACCTGAGGCACATGTGGGGTTCTGGCTGTTCCTGAACTGAAGCAGCAATTAATGCTTCTGCATTCCTGGACTGTGCAAAGGCAGTAATCATAGCAAAAGGCGGCTTTGCAAGTCCTTTATCCTGCTAAAGCATAGATAACGTAAGTAGTATTTTCTCCAGAAAAGATGCCTACTGTGATCACCCACTGCTGCAGGGCTTTGGTTTTAATGCACTTACAGCTATAAACAGACAAGTAAAAAAAACCCAAAAGAAAACTCCCAACCCCAAAACCCAAAACCAATCTTTCTTGGAATAAATAGCTAAATATATCAATGCTTTCTTCAAATAAATGTTGACATCTGACATGCGGGAAGCATGGACCCATGGGCTCCTGATGTCAGGCAGCCCAACTGTCCAGCCAGCAAACCCAAAAGGAATCAAGGTGTGTCTGCATTTGCCGTCCATGCTCCCAGCTCTGTTACAAGTGCACCGTGCCAAGCAAGCTAGGTCAACCTGCCCTGCACCAGGGTTGCTCAGCTCCCATTTGGGAAGGCAATTGTTATAACTGATTTAATTCTGTGCAGTGCTGAGCATCTGCTGCTCCCGCTTTGAAGGTTGCAATTGTCTTCACTACAACATAATTTTGTTTAATTTCGTTCCCCACTGCTCTGGTATGTGTTGTATGACCCAAGGCACGTGTCCAGTTATGGGATCAGGCCAACAGAAGAATTACCCAAGTCACTGCTTAATCTGACTGAATATACCAAAATGCCACACAATTAGCCCACAAATTGGAGGCAGCAGGAGTCTCAGACTTTTTCTACAGTGTGTTTATTGATTGGTGCATTAATAACAGCAACGTATAGCCCTTGCGAACTGCAGCACTCAAAAGTTTGCATTTGAACTGCTGTCTAAATCAGCACCACCGCAGGACAGACTGAGTGGGCCTCTCTCTTGGGATTTCAGCAGTTAATCATTATCATAAGATAGCCCAGCAGGAGTTCTGTTTTAATAAGATAAAAGGGAAAAATAAATACTGTGCATGCCTAGGAAGAGCTGACAACGCTGTGTAGTCCCTGCATTAAACAAAGAAAAACTTTGTCAGCCTTTGAAGTCACCTAGGGTTAAGTAGAAGTCCTTCCTTGTGTGCTGTGCCATACACGCTACTGAAGCATAATAAGTAAGGACATAAAGATTGAAACCACATGCTGATGTCTCTTCCTTACAACTTGATAACAGCTCTCTCCCCAGTATGAACTAAAGAGAGGTTGACGGATGCATTGCAGTTTTATATCGGTATGAGGCACTTTTCTGTTTTTCTGAGACAGCACATACTTGGAAAGTGGTGTAAGCCTGAAATCTTTTATATGCCAGAGAAGAAGCTGCAGTCTGGACAGGTTGAAGGGAAGAGCAGCCTTTTGATTTTGAGTAGATGAAACAATCGTATGTAGTCACAAGCTGAGCCGGAGCTCTGAGAGTAGAGAAGCCAAAGCAAATGTGGCAGTGTGTTACACGACCGCCATCACTGTCTGAAGGTCTAGGTTTGCCTATATCTATGGATACTGAATTTCCTCCCCCTCTCCTTGTAGCCAAAGCAGACAGCAGTTCTTTCTGTTAGAGGACTGAATTTACATTTGTGGAAGAGGCAGTACGAGTAGACTGGGACAAAGAGCCCAGGCATGAAGAAGAGACGGGGCAAGAAAAGGGACAGAAGAGTCCAACAGTGGAAGATGCATATGGATGATGGTGTTATTCTGACCTGGTAGAGAGCTGTGAAATTAGTGTGGAGGGTCGTTGTGTAGTGTATATGATGATAATTGTCATAAAACTCTATTGGGAAGCCAGTCATTCTGATTTCATGGTAGAAGTGTGAGGACAGGGGTTTAAATATAAGTTTATATTGAACAAGGAGGACAAAGAGCTAAGTTTTATTGAATAAGTGCTCATTTAATGAGCACCATCACTGCTGAGACTGAGTGATTCGGGGGTTCTGTGGAAAGAATGACATACAATTGTGTATCTACGGATTTATTATAATTTAATATAACATAATTATACATGTACATATACATGTATATAATCTAAACACACACATGTATATGCAGACAGAGAGGTTAATTAAGACTACATAGACAACATAATTCCTAATTTTTTTTTTTTTTAACTCTGCATAGCAGCCTTAACATTCTTGTAATACAGCATTTTGAGTATGATGTGGCCCACTGACAGGCACCAATGGTTTATTTTCACTGCTGTCAACACTGGTACAGATGTAAATTGAATCCATGGGCCTGCTCTTCCTTACGTGTCCTACATGTAGGTACTGAGCTCCTTAAGCTCCCTGGAGTTGTTTTGCTACATTTAATTTGTCTTGGTTTTCTATACTCATTCTCTTTGCCAGGTTTTCATTTCAGTGCTGAACTACAACACTATGGCTTATATTCACTGTTAAAAAAATCTTTAGAAAGGTGTCAGGAGAGTAAATGGGAGCATAAGTTTTGCATTTCAAAAGACAGGGAGATAATCAGGGATGGCCCCATAGTCTTGCATTATGTTGAATTATTTCCTTTTTTTTTCCTCTGGCCATTACAGAAGCACAAGTACTGGCTTGTGTGAATCCAGATCTATTCTCTCTCCTGTTTCTGGCTTTTCAATATATTCTCAGCTGTGTTTTTCTATGCAGAAATCTGTTGCTTGTGTAAAGTGGGTCATGCTTGTCTGAGATGCACATAGCAGAATTGTGCAGGCTTAATCCTTGAAGCAACTTTGGCTCTTAAGCGTAGTCAGAGTGACGTGTGACAAAGCGTCCATGAAAAGATGAGCAGCGCCCCGTGTTTTCAGATCTCTAAGCTAGAGTTTATACAAAAAAGAAGTGGCAACTTGGCTAAAAAAGGATGTTTTGCGTTTTCAGCTTGTCCAGATGGATTCTTTGGGCTTGACTGCCACCAGGTGTGCAAGTGCAAGAATGCTGCCGGCTGCGACCATGTCCTGGGAACATGCCGCTGCCTCCCCGGCTGGCTGGGAGAGACCTGCGAGCAGCGTACGTACAGGCTACCCTCACCATCCCTGTTCACAAACTCTTTCAGCACTAACACGAGTTTCTTCTGGGAATGTAGGATGACCGACCAGGGTACAATTTTAGATAGGTCACGTTCCTTTCCAAAGATGCCAAAAAAGGGAACAATTTTTGGTAGCTGTGTAAATAGTCAGCTTCATTTTTTTTAACTGCTGTTGGCATTTGTCAAACATTATAAGCATCAGTTTTTAAAAAGCAGAGCTGTCTCCTACCATACGACAAATCTCTTGCTTTTTGTTTTTGTGCAACATTAAGAGATGAAATGTTGTATCTCTGTTTCTTGTGTATCTCATCTAATTATCAATTATAAAGTGACAGTGGAAAAATCAGAGCTGGGACTATTTTGTTATTTGAGCATGACAAAATAGTTTTTTAACTAATTCTTAGAAAAAATATTTGTTTTAAAAAAAGTCAACTTCCTAGATTTACACAAGTATGGATTATCCCACAATCTTTAAGCTAATAAGGTTTTTTTGTATGTTTGTGTGTATGCATATATAAAATTGGCTTTTCTGAGAAATCGTTCACTAAATTTCATGAGAAATTAAATTATTTTCTTTAGCTACATGACATGACATATGGAGATCACTGAGCCTATTTGCAAAATTTAGCAAATACGGGATTTTTTTTAAGATTTTCAGGTTTTAGCCTCTCAACTTTCTAGTTTCACTTTAGGATGATGTCATGGTCTGTACTTCCTTTTGAAAATATGACTGCCATCTGCAGGATTGTGTGGTAGAGCTGGGGTCCAAACCAGCTCCACAAGGAGCCAACTTTCATTGTTAGTGAACACTTTCGTAAGACTTCTTTAATCCATAGGTTGCAGATTTCTGCAATAGCAAATTGGTTTAATTTAGAAAATAGAGAGAAATGATACTTGTATTGAAATAGTTCTATTCTCCAGCCATACATCATGTTATAATCAGCCCTGTTTGAGGGCTGTGCTTGCTTGTCATAATACTTTTCCCTCATTTGCCCCCACCACACAACACAGCCTGTCTTCTGAAAGGGCTTCTCCTGTAAAATCCCCTGCTCTTTTGATTTATAGGAGGATCAATGCTGGTGAATCTTTCAATTTTTTAGATATTTCTGCAAATATCCCACAGTTGCAGTCCTTTTTGCCTCCTCATGGCCCCCCATAGGAACGTTTGGCTTTCTGTCTCCCACCGCTTGAAGATGGTGGTGTAGGTTAATGAGCTGACCATGAAATAAATGCAGAGACAGAGCCATATAGCCATACCACAGAGCAGAAAAGGTGCTGCTGAACAGGTACGATGTTTGCTTCTCGGTCATAGCCCACTTTTACTGCCCTTCAGCTGAGCCATGGCGTTAGCAATGTGTCATCTTGGCCCTTCCCCGCTCCTTAGAGTGCATTAGGGATGGGAAGCTTTGTTCCTACATATTTCATTAAATTCAATTAAGAAATGCAGCTCTTGGTCAACGACCTTCTGTGCCCGCCTCTACTCGCATGAGAAAAGAACCTATGTATTCCCTTGAGCCACAGTGCCGGATTGATTTATTCCTCATGCTGGTGAAGATGCCAAAGCCTCTGAGGTCTCCTTTGCCTGTAAGTAAAAGAGCAGGGTCAGTTAACGATGCAAAGGGTAACCTCCTTTTCTCTTGGCTAAACGATGAATCTTCATTTTGATTTTGAGACGGGACCTCGGCCACACAGCTTCAAAGCTGCTCAGAATAAGGCAACCATGGCTCGGAGACATCAGCTCACCACTCCCCATCCTTGTTGGGTGTTTAATATTCCCCTTGGTGGTTCCTGGGACTCGCCAGCTCTAGCAGCTGGTAGGACAGCACTCGTGTTCAAGTAATCAGATTGCAGGCAATGTGCTGGAGGATATTGAGGAATAATTTTGACATCATGGGATTTGAATTGATCTTAAGCCGGCCATGCAGTGCCTTTTATATACTGCTATCTAATTATGGGCAATACGGACAGTAATGCCTTTTGTTGAAGCTGCCTAACACTTTTCATTACAAGACTGTGTTTTTCAATTGCTTGTAAATTAATTATATTAATCTGGAATGAAATCTGCCAAGCAAGCTCTGCCTCGGCTTAAGGTTGTGTTTGGTGATTTTTTTATTTTGGGGTGGTTTTTTTGAGTGTCTGCCTAAGATGTTTTACATTTCCAAGAAAGAGGTTTAGGAGAGGTGTATTGCCTATGTTTAAAATAAACTGTTTTGTTGAGTGTCATGATGCCTCAGCGATATAGAAGTGAGGATTTGACATTTGGCATCTATTTGTGCCAGAGATGTAACCTTCCTTTCTGTATACAAACTCATCCAAATTTTGCAGTTTCCAAAAACAAACAAACAACAACAACAAAAACACCAAAAAAAAAAAAAAGCTCATGTTGTGTATGGACTGTAGAAGCTGAACACTGCATTTTGCCCTGATTCTGTTAGTACTAAAAACGCCTCTTGCTGGAGCTGTTGGGGCTCAGCAGGATCTTCACAGAAGCAGTTCTTTGTGGTAAAAAGAGACCACACTGGTTTGCAAAATAAATGAGTTTGGAAAGATCAGCTCTGCCAGAGTCTCTACTCAGGGGCACTGATAACCCAGGGTTTGACATTTTATTGTGTGTGAGCACTTGATTTTGCAGATTCCCTGTTCTTTTAAAGCTGAAACTTCATTTTGGGGAGAATAGTCCACAGGACCTGCATGAAATCAAAGCTTCTGGGCACCCTATTGAGTCTTAGTGCCCATCGTTTCCCTGTGCTCCCTGATGCTTTTGATGGCTGTTGACTTCCAGTCTGAATGTTTTGGTCTCCAGTTTAACATTTTCCTTACTCTGTGTGCAAAAAGAGATTTTAAAGACTGCAAATGAATAATCCCTCCTCTTACAGAGGAAAGGCACTGAGAGGAAAATTTTGAAGCAGGAAGAAGTCTAATAATGTAAACCTTTCTATTGCTTCTTTCCTTTGCACTCATCATGAAGAAAGGAGGAAAGTCCCATGGTTATTTGTACATTCAGTTGTGGAACTTCAGAAAATAGCTTCAATGTATCACTTGTTATCTTATTCTTCAGAAAAGTACTTTGATAATCAGGATTGTCCTACAGAGAAGCTAAAAAAAGTTTGTATCCACCCAATAGAATAATAAAAATTTTCTTCTCCAAAAATTTCTGCTTTCTTACCAGAATTTTCACTGGAAAACTCTTTTGTCTTCTCGGTAAGCATAACAAGAGCTTTGCATGCATACTCCAAAAACTTCACACGAACCACTAGTAACCAGTCAGGGTGCCTGCTTATGAGCTGGTTTTTCCTTTGGCTTGGTTATGATATAGTTCTGGTCTGTATTGTGGAAATAATTAGTCTGCTCCCAAAACTGAGCCAGAGCTCTGTAGAATGGGCTGAACCTTTAACTTGGCAACCAAGCCTCATTTGCAGAACAAACTTTTAACTGTGATGGGACTGAGCTCCTGCACTTTCTTGTGGTTTCAATGTGGATGGGGTCCAGGCAATGACAAAAATGAACACTGTTAAAGTCCTGGGAGAAATGGTGTCTGTGAGAAGCGCATTGGGAAACTGGAAGTCCTCAGATGGGAAAAAAGGGCTGTGAATGGGTCAGATACTGTCAACCAAGTTCACCCCTGAGGTTGGGTTGGTTTCACTCCTCTCTTTGGTCCCCAGGGATGTGTCCTCCTGCAGCACTGCATCTTGTTCTGCACACTGACACCCTCAAAAGCATAGAGGTTTTGGTGAAAAGTCGTCGTTTGGGTCTGATCCTGGGAGATGTCACATTCAGCAAGTGCAGGACGCTTCTGGATCAGGGATCAGAGCCTGTTTTTGCCCCTCCGATGTGTGCCAGCAGTGCTGCAGGGATGAGAGGCTCTGACAGCTTCATACAAGTGAAGGAGAGCCTCTGCAAGGCAGGGACAAAAACTGTGCAAGGAGGATATCCAACTTCATCAACTCATTTTGTATTTTTTGGATGATATCTGAAGACATCAGGGTAGCAGTACTGTCTGTTTTCCACCACTTAAAGCTATCCAAATCTCCAGTGCAATGGAGACTACAGAAATTTTATCACTGCCATTTTTCATAGGCAGCAGCACTGAAAACGGAGCTGCAGCAACTGTACGTTTGCGAGATGGCGGTGTTAAGTTTTCACCTGGGAGCCAGCTGCTTAACCAAATGCGTTGAAAATATCACCCCTCTCTGACCAAAGAATGAGACTCTGGGTGAGCGAAGGCATCCAGCTGTGAAAAATGAACACTGAAAACAATGAAGTTGTCAGTTCTCTTACCAGGATGCAAATAAATACCCAGGCTGTCAAGCTGGCAGTTCTGCTGGACCATTAGTTTAGCACAAAGACATTCCGCAGGGCAGGGAATGACAGCTGATCCATCACCCCGAGCGATCCTGCCCTTCGATAAAAACCTCTTCAGAACGTGCTATGATACATATTTTTAAGCCACGTCATTTAATGTCGGGCATGGTTAATATACGGACTTAGGCACCCTTATGATGTGAAAAGTGTGTCGTCGGAAGCCAATTTCAAACTGATTTCCCTGGCGCTGGCTTGTGTCACAGGTTTGCTCTGTGCAATGCCTCCTTTGATGCTTCCTGATGGGGTTTTATGGACTTCTCTCGTTGCAGCCTGCCAGCAGGACAGCTATGGGCCAGGCTGCAGCCACGCTTGTCACTGTTACAACGGAGCGCTCTGTCATCACATAACCGGGACGTGCCTTTGTAGCCCGGGGTGGAAAGGAGCCACCTGCCAAGAAGGTACAGTTGGAAATTCAAACCCCTGCCAGAGGATTATAGGAGGGAAAAATAAAACTTCTGCTCAGGGGGCTTCATTGGTATTTTAATTATCAGCTCATTGCCCTGTGTGTCATTGGTTTTGTATCCGCACAATAACGCGGCTCAGTCCATTAAAAAAATCTGTGATGCTGCATTGCAGGGGCCGGGTGTAGGAGCTGGGTGTACACAGGGCAGAGGGGGCTGAAACAGAGTCATAAACTGGAAAGAGAGCTGGTTTTGAAGGCTGTCTGATTAAGGGGGAAAAGGTCCATAAAAGTTCCATTTATGACACTGAAACAAAACTGTTTCTTTTCTATGGCCTGCTTCACCATCCTGTGCACCCAACTGATCCTCGTCATTACCGTACACTGTTCCAGACATAGGCTAAATCCAGAACATGTGAAAGGCATTGGGACTTCGAGCCTTGGCAATTAGACCGATACATGTGACTCAAACACAAGCCCAACTCCAAGGAGCCTTAAGAAAAGAGGCTGGCAAAGAAAGGCTGTGCTGAGGCTTATGTTTCACCTCCTAATCCCCTGCCCCCAAGCCGCTATAAAAAGTCTGTCCATCCCTGTGGCAGAAGGCTCCTTTATCTGTGCCTCCCCCGCAAAGTACCTGGCTCTGTAAGCAGTGCCACGGAGCTGGGGATGCTGCTGGGGATGCTCCTGGGTGAGCTGGGGTTTGGAGTCAGCACCTCCACGCAAGCAGCGGCTGCCCTTCAGCATACTGAGAGGACAGTTAGGGAAAGGGGGTGAAAGCTGGCAGGGGTAGAGGAATATATAAATTAAGTGGGTCGCCCTTTAAAACCTAATTTGAAGAGCTCTTTCCATTAAGGAATAAAAAATTGGGAAGGCACCAAACGGTTCTTGATGACATGTGCGGCACAACCTAAAATTTTCTGGTTTGCATGAAGGCCTCAAATACAAAACCAAAGTTAAAAAAGCTGTTGTCAAGTATGAAGACATTGTCAAACATACCCTTTTTCTTTAGTGATACATTTGGGGATTTCTTTTCTCTTTGAAAGTAAAGAAGTTGCATAAGTGTGTGAGGCTGGGTGCCTCATCATTCTCCGGTGATGGTGCTTTTGCAGAGTGAGAACTTGCTACTGTTAGCATCTTAAAAAGGTGCCACTCTGGCATATGACAGAGGTGTGTATTTTTTGTGCCAAAAAAATTGGGTTCTATCTATAGGATCTGGTTGTGATGGGAATTAATAAACTTGCTTAATTAAAGTTAGGTAAACTGAAATGTAATCAGTCAGCTGTGGGTAGCAAGATCAATTAGAAAAGGAGTTGAGATTTTAAGAGGACTGTACAAAGAAGTTCTGAAAACAGGGAAATAAACACTGTAGGAACCAAGAGATGTTTTTTGTAGGTGCAAACAGAAAATTTTGAGGTCATTTGATGGGTCATAGCTAATTCACTTTGTCACCTGTTTTGTTCCCAGACAAGTTTTACACTGGTCTGTGTAATTCCTTATCAGTTGTGGGCCCGTTTTTAGTTGGTTGTACCTCCCACAGCATCTCCAAGATCACCAGGGTGAGAGGGAGTGTAAGCTGGGAAAGGTTGTGTTTAACCTGTCCTCCTCCTGCTCTTCTTAATGGAAGACTTTTGTCCTACCTCCTCTTTGCAGCCTGTCCTCCTGGATGGTATGGTGCAAACTGTCTGCAGCGCTGCATTTGCCACGGCCAGGCGATGTGTGACCATGTGACGGGCGAGTGCCGGTGTCCCCAGGGTTGGACAGGGATAGCATGTGAGCTGGGTGAGTCTCATCACATCCTCCATCATGCCTTGTTTCAGTCACTCTGCGAGGAAATTCATTTCTGGTGAGGTCTGGTTTGAGACAGCCCAGAAAAAAGAGAGAGGAGGGGCACACGGCTGGAGAACACCGTGTGTGGAGAGGTTGAAAAAGTTGGGGTTGTTTAGTCAGAGGTGAGAAGACTGAGGGGAGATACGGTATTGGCACTTGAATGTACCATGGCACTAGAAACTTGCTGGACAAAGGAGAGGAATAAGCTATTCTCTGTCCCTTGGGGACAGGGAATATAGATAATGAACTCAATTTGAGGAGAAAAAAATAATAAAAGAAATCCTCCAAAAGGAAAACTATGTATTCCTAGAGAATTTTACCAAGGGAGGCTTCAAAATCTTCCTCCCTGAAGGTTTTTAGGACCAGCTGAGGTGTCTCACCATATTTCAGAGATGTGCGTTCTCCCTGGAGCCCCTCCAAACTGGCTCCCTGTCAGTCTCCTCCATCTCGTTTCAGAGTGTGGGGACGGGAGGTACGGAGAGGGCTGTGAGCAGAACTGTAGCTGCCACCATGGGGTTTGTGACCAGCACTCAGGGAAATGCATCTGCCACGCTGGCTGGACTGGGGACCGCTGTGATGTTGGTAAGGGCAGTTCCTTCTGCCGATGCTATATTTTAATAGTCTCTTCTGCAATCAGCCATTTCTTTCTCCACAATAAGAAGTCTGTCTCTGTTTTGTATCTTAATCTTCCATTATTCTGTAGGCCAATAAGAAGTAATGCCAGTGTGAGTGCTTACCGTGTGTCTCGGGAGCCCTGGGGGCAGGTCTCTGCACAACCACAGATACATGCCCTTGTCCAAATCATTTTATCTCCTCCTACTTCTGTTCCCTGCCTGCTAAGAAAATGAAGGTATTTCTCTACCTTTTGGGTACAAGGAAGAACATACGAAAGGGAGTGAGTTGTAAGGAGAGTTTGCCAGATCAGCTACATGCTGCTGCATCTCTGTGGGTCATTGAGGGGAGCTCAGCAAATTGGACTGTAATGGTTCAGATTGTACCTACCTTGCTTGCGGTCCAGATTGCCCAGATTTGACATAGCTGTCTGGCATATTTAGATCCATGTAAACCCCTGAAATAGAAATCTCGTAAGCAGTTAGGTATCAGATGACTTGAAATGTGCCTTCAGCTCAGCCACTGACATGCTGTGACTTTTGCAAGCCACAAGCAATTTTCTGATGTCTCCTGAGGTGCTGAGGACTCTCAAAGCCTCAGCCACCAATGTGACCTGTAAAGCCTTCACAGTGCCCACTGTCCTTTTCTTCAGGCCTCACTTTCTCTTTGATCACTTTGCAGAGACCTGTGAGGTGGAAAGCAGTACATGGACGCAGTGTATTTTCGCTGTTCAAACAGCTGTCCCTCTGTCTATGCATAATTGTGTAAAAGTGAATGGCATCACCATCTCTGTAGACACCATCTGGATTTGTACTCTAGACTATGACTAAGTCATTGCAAGCTTTCATGTGTGGACTCATTAATAGCCAACGCTAAATGCTTTTAATATTTTTAATCTCTTTCAATGATATTTTGTGGGCATGCAGTCTTCTAAATATGCATCGCCATGTGCAAGAAGAACAATATTGGTTCATTTGCCAATGGCAGATGTTTTCAGTGCAGCAGGAAGGACTGTTGCTCTCCCTGCTTCTCCTTGCAGTCTGCGCCCTGGGATTTTTTGGCAAGCGGTGTGAGGAGCAATGTGACTGTGTACATGGCTTGTCCTGCCACCATCAAACTGGAGTGTGTCGCTGTGAAACGGGATGGCGAGGGAGGCACTGTGACAAACGTGAGTGTCTGGTGGGCGTTTATGGAGGAAGGTTCAGGTTGGTGTGTATGTTCCTCCTGGATCCAGAGCAGATGACAGGATCCTTTCACTCCCGTGTTGCTCCGTGGGGTCGGTCTGGAAGTGTTCACGGGGATGGTTGCAGCAGATCTGTTGGAGGGGGTAGCTTTGCACCGTCCTGCCTGGCCCCTGCCCCATGCCCTAACGAGAATTGGTTGCGCCGTTGCAGCTTGTTTGTCCGGCCACTACGGTGCGGGCTGTGCCCAGCGGTGCCGGTGTCCTGCGGGTACCCCCTGCCATCACCTGACAGGCAAGTGCAGCTGTCCTCCAGGATTCACCGGCTACAGCTGTGAGAAAAGTAAGTTTGTTATAAGAATGCAAATACTTTCCTTGTAGATTAATTAAGAAATTAATTTCTTAAATAAAAACCTGATGATATAATCAATGCCTGAAGAGGGAGGAGGCAACAACCTCATGGCAGTGAAGATGAACAAGGGCTGTGTGTCACTCACCCAAATGGTTTGGTGGGTTCTAACCTCTGTGCCTGGTGCGGTTTGGGCTGGCGAGGTTTGCCCTCTCTAGGTTTGCAGTTCTCAGGCTGGCAGGGAGCAGCCGGGGACTGAACTGGATCAAAATAGACAGGAGGTGCCAGCGGAGCCCGGCTCCTGCCCGCAGCCGTTGCTGTGCCGTGGGTAAAGCAGCAGCTCTGCTTTCTATTGGCCTTTTTCCCGTGAGAGACCATCTATTCCCGCTGTCAGAGCTCATGGAAATGTCATTATCTGGTTTTTCTTCGATGTTGAATTTGGCCGTCTGGAGCTGTCTTTGAAAGCAGGCTCATTCTGTGACCCCGGCTGCATAGTTTTGACTTTGTTCTTCCTTACAACGTTTTGCCTGAGCACTGCTTTAGCAAAAAGAAAAACAACAATAAAAAGAATTAAAAGAATTGACGCTGGTGTCCCATATCCTCCCTTAAAGGACTCTAAATCCTGACCCACAACCAGGCCAACTTAATGGAAGTGAGATGTAAGAACTAGAAGTGAAAAGTCCAAAACCTGTAGGCAATGTGGCCATCAACAGGCAAAATGAAACCTGTAAAGGTGTTGGTGCTGCAGCAGCTTTGCAAGTTTAAACTCCCTGCAAAAGATGGAATGTCTTTATCCACATGCCTGGTCCCTCGTGAATTATACTGTTATTTTAGTCAATTTTACCTGACATTTCCCTATGATTTTCTCTAGTGACAAGAAAATTGTATCTGGCCCTTGACAGTTGGGCACAAATTGACTGAACAAAACAAAATCAAGCAATGAAGTAACCCCCAAGTAAATGTAATAAATCCAAAGTCCCGGAGGAGAGCGTCGTCGTTCTGTAGGCAGGGATTTTATTTAATAAATTTGAGCTTGCTCTTTGTTCGAGTGCTATATTTACCAAGACAAATTTAATTTATTGGTTTACATTTCCTCTTCCCCAAGCTTGTCCACCGGGCACGTATGGTAAGAACTGTAACCGAGTATGTCAGTGCTCTGCTGAGAATGAGGAATGTCACCCGGTGACTGGCCACTGTGCGTGCCGCCCAGGCTACTATGGGACCCACTGCAACCTCCGTGAGTATCTTTGTGGGCTGCCTGCTTTCTGAGTGAGGACCGAGTTATGCAGAAGCATGTGCTGGTGCTTTGAGTTCATCTGTGTCAGTACCTTCAGCGTTGACTGAGATAAAGTAAGCATAGGTTAGGTTAATTTACAATAATAAAAATACCTCTGTTATTGCAAGGGATTAATTAAAAAAAATTTTTTTTTTAATTAATTAAAAAAAACCCAACAGACTCATTTACTAGCTAAATTCTTTCCAATTTCATGCCACGCTGAAGAATATCAATATCATTCTCTACATTTAGACCTCTCATCTTCAGCTACACCTGGATATTGTGTAGCTCTTTCATTTCCAAATACCTAGGCCAAAATACTTCCCGATATCTCTGCATGCTCATGTAAGGACAAGTGGTTATTGGAAAAATTAGCAATAAATCTCAGTGATTCATAAAGTTGCTTAAGTTGTAGGGCCTTCTGAGGAACAATCAAATTAAACAAATTGTTACTCTGGATTGAAAACTGGTGACTAGTGTAGAGGACCAAATGCCAATTGGCGAATGGTCCATCGTAAAAAATATTCCCAGATCCACATGCCTCATGCCAGTATTTTAGTACATCTGTAAAGTTGTTTCTGGTGGAATGTGGGTAAGAAACGTATACCAAAGTATCCAAAAAAGGAGACAGTTAGTTACCTTTTTATTTACAGCTTTAATTTTGTTTTTACTCTATGCTTTTTAATAGTCTCATTTAAAAAAAAAAAAAAAGAGCTTTCTCTTTGGCAAACACTGATTTTCCTTTCCTAGGAATCCAGCGTGGCTCTGTTTGGTTTGCTTGCTTTTTTGGGTGACAATTCGGATGCAAAAGCCAGCTGCAATATGTGTGGCTCTAGTAAGGGTTAAACCTGTGCTTTATTTCTCGAGTAGAAATAGGAAAGAGGCTCATTTTAGAGATGGGCATTTGTATTACCATCATCTCATCACAAGTTATTCTTTAAAATATAAATGTAAATGTAAGGATTGATTCTGTCCTTCTTTGTACATCAGTTCTCACTGTAAGTGAGAACGAAATCGGGCCTTCAACATCTAGGCTAGAGCCATCTGGATCCATTATACATTAGATCATAATAAATATTATAGTAGAGCGGTAGTGGAGATCAAGTATTTAACATTATCGTTTTAAAGGACTTAATCGTGGTTAGCCTATTATTTTTATGTAGCAATCTTTCAGTAGTCATTACCTGTGTGTGTAGTACTAAATCTCTATAGATGATAGTAAATGTCCTTGAGCTTGTTTGGATCCTTAAGATTTTATTTCAGAATTTTAAAATTTAAAACATTAATAATTACACTGAAGTTCTGATATAAAAGAAATTACTTACAAAATGAAATCTGTGTTTCGTTGCATTCAGAGGGGATTTTGCCATGGGCTCCTGTGTAGCTAGGATTAAACCTATAGCGTATGAGATATGATCATTCATGGTGTTGTGTTCTCTTAGATTCCAAAAATACACAGTATCTTGCACAGCAAATTCTCACTTAATAAATACAGTTCTGTTAAACGTTTACTGGAGAGATAATGGAATGGTGGAGGTTCACAGAGAGAGAAAATTTGTCTTGCATCTATGTGGGATTTTTTTCCTGTTCCTATTCTCCCCTATGCCACCCTGACCATTGCATAGACAGACACAAAAATGGAAGGAAAACAGTTTAAGTGTGACTTATTTTTAGGTTTAGGTCAGTGCAGTGAGAGATTGTGGACCTGATTCTGAAGTGACTGTCTGATAACCAGTGTGCCTTTGGTGGGAATACTCCATGTTCCTGCCGTCCTCACTACAGGGAGAACTGGGGCTGCTCCAGGACGAAGAAGCTTTCGATATAATATTAAAAACAGCATAGGGAGGCGCTCCCAAGGATGTGAAATGGGCTTCAGTCCAGTCAACATGTGGTTGGATGCTGCTGGAAACGGTTTCTGGCAACTATTGCTATATTTATAGTACTGTGAAAAAAGGTTTAAGAAAGTATCTATAAAAGGTGTAGTTGGCTGGGAAGTCAAATTTCCAGGAGCCAAGAGCAACGAGGCTTTCATGTTCTCAGATTTTGGAGTGAAGTGCTGAAACAGTCTCTTGGCAGAATCCAGAGGAAGCAGACAAACTAGCAATAAGGTTCCCATCAATTGTCCATAACTCAGTGGATGGGCAGATCTACTTGAGTGAAGTTATGAATAAAAAGCAGTAAGTGGTGTTGTAATGGATAAAAAAACCCCATGCTACGTCTCTGACATTTACTGGGCTGGGTGAACCCTGAGCCAGAAAGACCTCACCAGCTTCACGTTCAAGCTGTAAGTAACAGGATGTTTCAGAAGTGATTTTTTGACAATGCAATTAATAACATTGGTAAGAAAAGCCCTACTGTATGTAGTTGGTATGAAAAAGTTTAGGAGCTCTTGGTCATGGCAAACCCACCCAAACCAGAAGGAAAAAAATCAGGATATGAGTTAGAAATCTGGCTGCAGCTCCTGCCGTTCTCAGAAAAAACATGTCAGATGCACAGGAAACTGTTAAATTAGAAAATGTCTTTATGAGATAACTGGTGGTTAGAGGCTAACCCTCTTTATAAAGGCAGAGCCTACTTAAATGGCAGGACACCATGTAAATTGCCCTAGCTATCTGCATAGAAGTTCTCCTGCAAAGCAGTAACAGATGAGATGGCCTTGTTAATAATCACATGAATGTTGCAGCTGATGTGTTTGCCCTGCTTGTGCTGCTCCCTGTTGAACCGAAATAAATAAAATGCTGCAAGGGTAAATAAACTGGCAAGGGAGGAATTACTGCATCCCTTTCAGTAATGGAACAGCTTTTGCTAGTCTTGAGCAGAGGAACAACTCTGAAAGCTTTGCCAGGGGGAAGCAGCATGTTTGGGAGTGTAGGAAGCAATTAAAAAAGAGAAAAGCCAAATGATGAACAAAAGGAAGGGGAGAAGGAAAAGAGAAACTCACTTAGAATCCAATTAAATCACTGAATCTGGGTGTGTCCTTAACTTCATGTCTTGGTGGAAATTAAATAGATGTTGCAGGGCTCACTCCTTGATGCAAGGGTTTGCCCATAAAACAGAGTTTCTGTACTGACAGATGGAAGCACTGATGACAAAGTATTCATTGAGAAGAAGCCATGGTTGAGAAGGGCTGGGGAGATTATCTGCATGTTTAAAACTATGTATCTGTTTAGTCCTGATGATCTGCTATCCTGATTTGAGCAGAAGCCAATTTTCAGTTTTATTTTAAAAGGCATCCCTCTAAAGCTTCACCATAAGCTCTTCCTCTCTATTGAATAGTTGAAAAAATCCAGAGATTTCTCCAGCCACTCAGAGCACGCTTTCATGCCTTCAGAAAAGAGAGAAAATACATAAAGTTATTTATGCACAGATTGCAAGAGATCTGTTGCGTGGAGACGGGTGCAAACATATATTCGACTACATTTCCGAAGTAGCCATAGGCTTTCCTTTTGCCGGGGGAAGGGAAGGAAGGAAGGAGCAAAGAAATGACACGTAGAGGCAGTAGCACTAGTGTAACTGTTGAATGATGATCATGTTGCTCTAAAAGCACCAGCTTCTCCCTCTTCCAATACACTGGAAAATTGGGAGAATAACCTGCATCTCCAGAGTTCAGTGTGGCATGCTGGAGGCAACCCTGACAGACAGAGGCATGTGCCTAGCAGCTCTGTGCAGCTCTTTTCCTCAGTTCCAGCCTCCATCACTCTAAAGAGTATCTTGAAGACATGAGCTAAGCATGGCAGATGCTTTCATGTCTTCCTGATCTTGTATTCAGTGCTCTTTGAACATTAGCTGTCCAAAAAGAAACCAGAAATACTTGCTACCACCTGGAAAACCTTTTCATGAACAGCTCATTGCCATGTAACACTGGCTCAACAATCCATCCAGGTCTAATATTTCTGCTGATTATTACAAAATACAGCTGCTTTTTTTTTTTTCCGTAGGGAATTTTCTGGCTTTGCATTTAAAGTGTCTCTCTCCTGTATCTATCTTCTGAGAAGGTGTTGCCTGAAATTTCGTGATATTGTCATGTCTTCCATCCACAGCCCACTAGATTTGTCAGAGCAATGCAAACTCCAGTTTGACATGAAAGAGTAGATTATAGAGGAAACAAACTTTCTTCAACTTAAACATTTTGGAAAGATGAGACCTGCCCCACCCTCTGTAACTGGTCAGTTAAAACAACCGCTAAAAGGGGCAGAGATAGCTCATGGCTTCTCACCTTCACAGTCAAACCAGGCTGTTGCTGCCCAAAGGAGGAGGGATCAAGGCCCCATCTCTCCATCTCTGCCATGGGCGGGAAAGGGGGGACAGGTTGATTTGGAATAGAAATCCAGGAAGAAAACCTCTGAAGAACTGGGCTTGCTTTTCTTGCTACCGACACGTATGAGGAATGGGAGGAGCAGGCTCGGCAACAGCAGTTGGTCTGGCTCTCCAGGGGTTTGACACTGCAAGTCAGCACTGCCTTGCTGCCCCAAGGAGTGCATTGCCCAAGGCAACCATCTGTTTGTCAATGCCTGCTCCTGGCCCTCTAGAAGTGAATAGAGTTAGAAAATGGAAATCTAATTTTGGTTGAAAGCAACAAAGTGCTTACGACATGAAATGCAATGGGCCCAGTAGCAACATAGCCTAATTGCTGTTTTGTTCTTTCAAAACAGGGTGTCCAAAAGGTTCTTATGGTTCAAACTGCCAAAAACCCTGTAAATGCATGAATGGAGGCCATTGCGACCCTGCGTCGGGAACTTGTGATTGCGCACCTGGTTTCATTGGAGCCGACTGTAGTAAAAGTACGCCAACATTCACGTTCTGCTTCTTTCAAAAAACAGCAGAGAAAATAATCTGCATTAAGAGCTTGACAGTAGAAAAACAGACAGATCTCAGCTACCTCCTTCTTGAATTGTAAATCAGGATTCCAGCTTTGTAAAAAATCTCTTGCAAAATATTTTCCCTCTCTTCTGCATGCGCAGAAGCAAGGACACGCATCCCAGGATTACAACCTGCTTGCCCAAACGTATTTCTAGAGCCAGCTCAGCATGAATTGCTCAAGTTCCTTCTTCCTGTCCAAAATTTCTAGGTTGAGAAATTATCTCCATATTTTGCTTCACACTATGGTGCCATTAGTTTCAATAAATGAGAAAAAGATCAAGTTTTGTCATGGCAAAACTGGTAAAGGCTCCATGGCAACCCTACTCTTACTTTTCTATTTCTGAGCTAAATTGTGTGGCTGAATTCCTGTGCTATTTCCAAAGTTAAGATCTCTATGAAGTTCTCTTCAGCTTATTCACAGAAAGGTAACGCTTTAATGTTTAGTAGCCTATAGCTTTGTTCTTCAGCATAGGACAGCATCAATATTAAGGAAGGAAAGACCTCTTTAGCTGGAAGGATGAGCAGCAGATATTTCAGCTGTACACTCACCTTTTTGGTTGGAAACCTACTAAATGTTCCATGTGAAACCATGGATTATAGCCTCAAGTAAAGTTTCAGAGGAAGAAGCAGTCATGTCTTTGAATGGGTTTTGGTTTCATAGTTGTTGCTTTGAAGCACATTAGCTGGAATAAAAATGAAGCCAACTCTACTTACAGGATCCTGCCTATGTTAAAAATGAAAACTGGCATTGGATACCCAGGGTGTTTAACAAAAGACTGTGTTTCCTTCAGCTTGCCCTGAAAACCGATATGGGAAGGACTGCACCCTGTTCTGTGCATGTGGTAAAGGTCACTGTGACCCACAGACTGGCAAGTGTACCTGTCCTCCTGGCCAAATGGGACCCAGCTGTCAGCAAGGTAACAAAGCGGGACCCAAGGTCATCTCGTCAGTTGGGCACATACTTAAAAAAAACAGCAAATAAAACTTAGCGACAAACATTGTTTATGGCTGTTTCCCAATGCCTTTGCTTGATAACATTTCAGTTTGCTGTACTCGGCCCCTGTCCCCCTCCGCTGCATCACCCCTGCCTTTATCTTATCCCCGTCTCCTGCCCACACCTCACTGCTTTGCTCCACCACACTTGGTACCATTGCACTGGTTTCTCCACAAAGCTAAAGTCACCGTTTTCAGAGACTGCAGTCCAAACAGAACATAAAGATGGGAAAAAGGGTAGTTTGTACCACACAACATGAGCAGTGTGAGGGTGCTGTGGATGGATGGGACTAAATTCAGAAGTAAATTACTTGAACTGAAGAAGTAAAGGGAGAGGATTTGCTGAAGAGAAGAAGTTGAGAAATGGGAGAAAGGGAGGAGAGCAAGAGGAGCAAATGTGGAGTGAAGCGGAACGATGAGATAGGGCAGAGAGTGTTTGGATGAAACTGCTAATAAGAATCATAGAATGGTTTGGATTGGAAGGAACCTTTAAAGGTCATCTATTCCAACCCCCCTGCAATGAGCAGGGTCGTCTTCATCTAGATCAGGTTGCTCAGAGCCCCGTCCAACCTGACCTTGAATGGTTCCAGGGATGGGGCATCCACTACCTCTCTGCGCAACCTCTTCCAGTGTTTCATAAGCATGGAGTAGAGTGTCCTACAGCTCTCGGGAGACACCAGGCACTTAGGATACTCTGTGGGAAGCATGTGTTTGTATTTATTCCCTGTCACCTTCATCCTTTTTTGGGATGCTAATTTTTTTTTTTCCAAACTTTGTTAATTCTCTGTAGTGTGTCCCCAGGGACGATATGGCCCCAACTGCCACCTGACATGTACCTGTCAGAATGGTGGTATCTGTGACCACGTGGATGGCAACTGCACTTGCAGGCTCGGCTGGACAGGAAGATGGTGTGAGAAAGGTAATTTTCTGCTTTGATGATAGTGAACATATACGTTCAAGCAGGGGTTTGCAGTGCCTACAGACCCACAAAAGGGGACAAGTTTTGCTTAAGTAGACTTTCTCCCAGCTGCATTCGTCTCTGTAGGTTCTCTCACGCAGAACTGCACCTAGTTAGAGCTTTAGGTCTTTTTTCAGAGACAGTTTCCTTGTGAGTCCTGCTCTGTAATTCTCATTAATTCCTTTGCATGGTCTCTTATGTCTTCTCCCATCCAACTTTTGTGTTCTTTTGTTCATGGGTACATTGTTTTGTATCTTCTTTCGTGTTCTCCTCTGAGGTGAGCAGCCCACATCTCCCTCCTCTCTTGTTATGTTCTCTCTTGTTATTCTCTTCCCTTTGACATTGGACTGCAGTTGAACTTCCCATGTATTGACTTCCCTGCTAGTACAATTCTGACAACATCTGTCCAAAGCAATTGAGATTGTCTTGCTATTTCGTCCTTACTCTTCTCCATGACAGCTCACCCTTACACAAGACAAAGCACACTGAGATCAGTTTTCACTCCAGAAACCCTCCTGCCAGCCCAGAGTAGTTTTTCTACGTCTTTCTGTCCATCTCCCAAAAGTCATTCTGCATTTCTGTGTTCCCGTTTCTCTCTCCAGATAAAAGATACCGGTATAGTTACAGACTTAAATGTTCAGGAAACCGTGAGTTTACTGGTATGATGTCAAATCTATAGTTCTGAGTTCACATTCAAGACAAATGTCATTGTTACATCGTAACTACGACGGTGCAATCTTCCCAACACACTTCTGGGCCCTCACTTCCAGCCTTTCTGTCCCTGACATCTTTAGAATATCCACCTCAAACTCCATACGTATCTTTACCAAGAACTGGTCTTTATAGGAGAGTGTCCCTTTATAAAAGTGTCATATAGAAGTGACACTCTTTAGCAGAATTCTTCAATGCAGTTGTTTCACTTTGCATCTGAGAAGACTCGGAGATCTGCTTCATGCACACGTGTGCAGAGAAGGAGCAGGGAGAAAAGGAAAGATGCTACCTACATGGAGCCACTCACAAAGTGAATACCGCTGTGGGCAGGCACTAAAATAACCCCCCCTAAAAAGGTGCAGTTTACCGATAACTGGCTAACTTCACGTTGCATAGGCCACCGGCGTTCATCTCTATTTGTCTGTTCCTTGAAATCTCTGAGACCACCCATAGGCTGCATTTGGGTTGCAAAGCCTCAGTAGGGTCATGCAGGTGTCACCACGTGCAGTGGTGGATCATGGGTGTATCTTATAGATGTGCTTAGATAAAATATCTCTGGTGTCAAGCACGGGGGTAGACATGCACACAGCACATAAAGAACTGTGTATTATATCACTAGAAAGAGCTTCACTGTTTATCTTTTGACAGAGATAGCCAAGTTATTGGAACTTTGAGTCTTGATTTCCACAGCAGTGTGGTTTTGAGTGTGTTTTGACTGGAAATCAAAAACAGCTAATCAGGCATCCTTTTTCTAGTGATTAGATATGATGTTCTTGAAAGATCTTGTCTGACATTTGCTGAGTTATGAATCTGATTATTTGGATGGCCATGCTTATTTAAGTTGGTCTGCCCAGATTCAAATTATCACAGTGGTGGGAAGTTAACTTATGCAGCAATGATGCCTAGGTTAATTATATTGGTACGGTCACTTTTGCGTGACTTGGCTTTCAGTAATTTGAGACGTGTTTAGTTCTGTAAAAGAGATACCTCATTATACATGGAAAGTTGGTTGCTATGTGTGAAAAAGAGATCCTCCTGGTTTTATTAGGAATTGGAATAGTGTGAACTTGAATGAATAACACAGAGGAGGAAAAGCTATGTGTTTTCTTTCACACTTTCTAAGTGCCTAAAAGAAAATACTGCTGTAGATATAAAAAAAAAAAAAAAGAAGATACCATTTATACCATTTACTACGTGGCTTTACAACATATGGTGCGGGTTCAACATTGACTACATAAAGAGACAAATTAAAAAAGGGAGACTATAAAAAGTACAAGGAAATTGCTGTTTAAACATCTATATAATATAAAAGATTTCTCGCTGAAATATGCAAATGTATCATAGTTGTGCAGAAATGCTGTGTCTTCATAACAAATGTTCTCCTCGGGTCTGCAAGTTATTGTATGGGCATCATGTCTCAGCTATACAAACGATCATATAAGAGCTTTTCTGGGTGAGGTCAGTGATTTTTTTTTTGTTTGTTTGTTTGTCTGTTTTTCTGTCCAAGTTCTGCCAGCAGAATGTCTCCCAGGGAAGTACGGGTCTGGCTGCAGCTTGGACTGCTCGTGTCAGCACAACGGCACCTGCGACAGGTTCACGGGCTACTGCCAATGCCCCGAGGGTTACTACGGCCACTCCTGTGAGCACAGTAAGTGGAGGCACCCCGGGCAGCCCGGGTGCTCTGTTTTCCAACAGTAATGGGATGCGGGTCTTCTAATGGTAAACATTTTTGTTGGCTCCCAGGGGATGTAGCTGAGAATACAGAGGATTTTAAAGGGCTGTATGTTTTTCTTCATAAACCTTCCTCATTTGATACTTTCATTTTTCAGGGTGTCCCCTTGGATTTTATGGGCTAAGCTGTCTTCATGCATGTGCCTGTAAAAATGGAGCGAGCTGCGATGCAGTGACAGGGCAGTGCATTTGTCCTTTCGGTTATCAAGGTGTCTACTGTGAGAAAGGTACTTGTACCCCTCTGATGTAAAAGAAAAACAAACAAACAAACAAAAAAACAAAATAAAACTCAAAAAAACCCATGTCATTACTCAAATGTTTGTTTGTTGAGACCAACTTCTTCCATATTTTGAGCTTTATGAATATCCTGAAACACTAGATTTGGGATTGTTTACCTGTTATGTAGCTGGGTGTTCTCATTTCCTTATAAATTAACTAATCTGGTTCCAATTAATACGATGAAAGTCCTGCTCTCCGTGATGTCTTGCAGCAATGAGTTCCACATGTCGTTTATTAAATATAAGTTCTTTGTACGGATTTAAAATTTGCTTCTAATACTCCAAGTAAGATTATTAAATAGGTGCATGTCAGACCTGTTGAGTGTTACGGAATGGTCTTCTAGTGATAGTTCTAATTAAAAATGAAAGTAAGTGCCAGTTATATTTCTGGGGCAAATTTACAGATATCTTTGATAGGTTAGATTAGACAAACCCAACATAAAGAGAGTTCACATAAATATTATTCCTATTCCGCTGTGTTCGATTCTTCATTAAACTTGGCATTTACACTAGCTCCAGTGGAGAGTTTATGAGCTTTCCTCTGAGACATCCTGGAAAAACTCTGGCCTAATATATGTCTTGCTGTTCAAATGTGCATCTAAAAAAGTGCTCTTGCTGTCAGGCTGCGACAGGGGCTGGTTTGGAGAGAGGTGCCGGCGCCGGTGCAACTGTGGAGGAGCTCCTTGTGATCCAGAGACTGGGAAGTGCCTTTGCCCACCTGGGAAGACTGGAGACAAATGTGACATTGGTAAGGGTAATATTTTCTAAGGCTAGACTATGTATAGTTAAACTAATATGGCCTGTTGGTCTAAGTGTAACTGTGAAAGGACGTTTGCCGGTATTCAGGAACACATTGTTTGTAGCAAATTGCTCTTACGGGTTATCAACAGCTTTATCAACAGGCTGTACCTCTTGATTTAATCAATATTTAAATTGACGCACCGATAGGAAAACTGTTTATGGGTCAGCTGTAAAATGTCATTTGCCTTGAGTTTTGGAGAATGAGCACTGGTGAAGAATATACCAAGAAGCCCAGTTTTACAGACATAGTTGGGAAGACTCCAGAGGGTGCAAATGGGCACAAAGGGGTCCGATTGCTGTGTTTTTTGTCACACGGACGTTTGTGACCCTTTTCAGACCAAAGCAAAAGTATATCCAGCTCCAGGTCTGCTTCCCCAGGAAGCAGGGCGGAATCCCTGCAGATGAAGATAGTGGAAATGC